AGGTGAGGCCTTTCTTGGTCGAGTCGCTAAAAAGCATGAAGGTGAGGCCTTTCTTGGTCGAGTCGCTAAAAAACATGAAGGTGAGGCCTTTCTTGGCCGAGTCGCTAAAAAGCATGAAGGTGAGGCCTTTCTTGGTCGAGTCGCTAAAATGCATGAAGGTGAGGCCTTTCTTGGTCGAGTCGCTAAAAAGCATGGCGGTGACGCCTTTCTTGGTCGAGTCGCTAAAAAGCATGATGGTTACACCATTCTTGGTCGACTTGCTTCAAATCACGACGGTGAAGCCTATCTTGGTGGAGTCGCTTAAAAGCATGATGGATCTAACAACGGCTTTTCCTGCAAAGGAGGGTAACGGGTTCAAACTCTGCGAGAGGCCACGGCTTTCTTCAATAAGATTTCTAGAATATTCAACCCGATAGACGAAAATAAAACACTGTTTAAAATTAAAATGGAGCCTCTACTGAAATATCAGTCATTTATGTGCCATACGTGATACACGCTTAGGCGATCATGTCTCTTTCCATACATGACTGACGAGGCAGATTTTTCCCCGCAGTAGGTTGTCATTTCTCTCCGCGATAGACCAATTCCCATCCAAGGCTATAGAATCCAGTCAGCCCTGCTATTTACTCATAGCTGGGGGGACAAGAAGAGGATTCATACCTTTCCCAAGGGTATTTGCACGTAATTCGACTAGCATTCGAACTCGGCTCTCCGATTCCTCCATCCGAGCCGCTATCCATTACTCCACCGTGAAAACGGTAAAAGATTTAATTAATACATAGGAAAATAATTACCTAAAACTTGAAGGAGGAATTTACTCTAACACTTGCAATGATTGCTACAAGGAATACATCGGAGAAACTTCAAATAAGTTAAATAAAAGATACAGTCATTTATGTGCCACGCTTAGGCGATCATGTATCTTTCGATACATGACTGACAAGGCAGATTTTTTTCCCGCTGTAGGTTGCCATTTGTTTCTGCGGTAGACCAGATGTCATCAAAGACTATAGAACCCGGTCTGTTCTGCTATTTATCCATAGCTAGTGGGGGCGAAAAAGAGGACTCATACCTTTCCCAAGGGTATTGACACGTAAGTGAATGTAATGGATTTGCCTGGAATTCAAACTCGGCTCTCCGATTCTTGAATCCAAGCCGCTATCCATTAGGCCACCGTGAAAACGGTGAAAGACCTGATTAATAGAAAGGAAAATAATTAGCCAAAACATGAAGGTGGAATTTACTCTACCACCCGCAATGATTGCCACAAGGAATACACAGGAGAAACTTCAAGCAATTTAGATAAATGATTATATGAACGAAAAGGATCTTTTACAAATCAACACATTAAATGCATTTATTGCTCATTGTAAAGAGAATGACCACAATTTTTATTTAAATGATGCTATTTGAATTAAAGGAGAAAGCAATTTGCTAAGACGAAATTGCTTAGAAAGTGCTTTAATCGCTAGATCACACACTGCTATGGACAGTTTCTTACAGAGTTTCACAGTAGTTGCCATATCTTCTGTTGTCAAAATGTGTGTTATTTAACAACAAAAGTAATGGAAACATAAAACAAAAAGTTAATAAGTGACACCGACAAGTCTATATACTCCAAACATATATTTAAAAAAGAATTTAAATTTAAATTTAAAATTCTCACGTCCCCTCTCCTTCATTCGCCTGTGTAATATAATTAACGTTAAAGATTCCTTCAGTCTGATGAAGTCCTTAAGAACGAAACGCGTCATACGAAAACATTTTCCACTTTATCGCAGATTTCCTTAATATCTATCTATCTATCTATCTATATATATATATATATATATATGTTTGTGACTGTGTGTGTGTATTTAGGCAGCAATTTGAACATTAATGCATGTTTCATTAAATAATATAGACAAGTTGTATCTATTTATTTTAATTAAATTCCTTCCATATTGTCTGATAAGCTTAATAACATTATCATTGAAGGACGAAAGAAAATCACCATATTGATACATGTTTTAATCGTATCTAAGCTTTCGGCTTACATAAGACATTATCAAAGATGCCAATTACATTTCAATATATCAAACAATACACGGACAAAACAATAATGATAGTCTGTTTTTTTTGCATGAAAAATTTCAAAATTATTTAAAGAAACATGCATCAATGAAAAATTGCTGCCTAAATACACACAATATATATGTGTATATACACACACATACACACACACCCACATATATATGTATATATATATATTGATGCATGTTTCATTAAATAATATAGACAAGTTTTGTCTATTTATTTTAAGTAAGTTCCTTTCATATTGTCTGATAAGCTCAATAACATTATCATTGAAATAATATTTATAAATATTGTCTTTTTCTACAGGTTAGCTCTGAGAAATTTTTCATATATATATATATATATATATATATATATATATATGAAGAAAAATATACTGAAAAAACAAACAAAAATCCTAATATGCGATTATGCTGTTTTAATGTTTAATGTCAACGTCGGACGTTTCGGTCTAATAGACCATCTTCAGGACATATTCATAAAACATAATTAACATAGACCATATACAATTCAACATGAAAACGAGCAAGACCAATCCAAACAGATAACTGAAATCTTTTATAAGATCAGCGTTCCGTTTAAATATAATCACGTCGTCGTCACGTGGGCGATGTTGTGAAAACGTATTCCTAAAATTTGAGTATTTTGAATGAAAAACGAAAAGAATTTTATTTTATTTTATGATCTAAAACTTATATGTACGTTTGTCGAGCATTAATCTTGCTAGAAAAGGGAAATATTAAAGAAGCCAGGTCTAGTGTTCACCGTGCGTGAGATAGATATAATGCCTGCTTCATAAATCCGCCTAAGATTTTTATTATGAAAATATTTAAAAATCTTCACAGAATCAAAATCGAAATTATGATCAGATTTAGTTGTGTGTACAACTAAAGCATTGTTTAATTAAATACTCAAATTTATAGTCGTAAGCGCTCGGAATTACAGAACATTTGGACCGTTTCTACAGAATCTGTGTGCAGAAAGTTTTTTTGTTCGAAAACAAGAAAAATTAAGTAAAAAGCTTAATTGCAGTACATTGTCTGTCGTTTTTAAAGAAACATGTATAAAAGAGGGATTGCTGCCTAAATACCCAATATATATATGTGTGTGTGTGTGAAAATATATAGAAAATAGGAAAGAACTCTCGTTAGGTAAATAATACAAAGTTCTTTAGTATTAAAATATATATGATAACTCTTATGTGGCGATGGAATCATATTTTTAAATAAATAATTATATATATATATATATATATATATATATATATATATATATATTTTTATTCTATACAAAACTAACTTTTACTAACTTTTTATTCTATACAAAAAGTTTGGCCTCGTTTTCGTTATCCGAGTAAGTATAGTCATTACTTATGAACATACACGCATAAATATAACCATTTATCCACATAGGAAACCTATGTGAACTTTTTGTGGCACCATGCATCCAGGCAGAGAAAGAAAGGCAAAAAAGGGAAAAAGAAAGAAAAGAAGAAAGGAAGGGAAAACGTAATGCGAGACGGATCATAGGTGATAAGCGAACACACACACACGGCTTAAGAGGCAATGAAAAAAAAGGGTTATTTTGGATAAGTGGCAAATGGCGAAAAGAGTGTCATTACAATGACAATGAGATTGAGTGGGTAGGGAAGTATTATCTAAGGATATGAAAACAAACTATTGGTACAAGAAGGCATCTTATTATCAAAACACAGGCCACCGGCCAAGGGAAAAATTCAAGCGAAAATGTTATTTCGATAAGTGACGACAAGAAACAGGCGACTTAAAAAGACTTTTGGACAGATATGAAAATTAAAGGCCACCTGCGAGCAATCATTGACCGATTTCCCTACTTGGCCTGCGCGAATGGAATTGTGTTATCAAGAAATGTTCGCCAAAGAAAGTTCACTTGAAAACGTTAGATTTTGATAATTGACAAAACACAGGTGTAGGTACGGAGCCTTAGCTAGATATGGAAAATTAAAATCCCACACAAGCAGTCTCGCTAAAACAAACTTTTGCCCCGTGATAATAAAATTTTGTTATCAGACACATGAACCGAAGGAAAATGAATGGAATAAGAAATGTTTTTATTTCTTCCTTGGAGACGTCAGACCGACTGAAAACTTGGAGAAAATTCTTTTCTGAGGCCATGTCATCTGATGAATTGGCGATAAACTGCTTGACAAACGCCACGTGTTAAACAAAGAGATGTCATATTATCCGTTCATGATAACGGCGATTTGAAAGGAAGAAAAAAAGGAAAGAGAAGGGATAATTAATTTTTTAGTTAAGCAAGGTATTTTTTTCCCGAAACAAAGCCGCGGGTTGTTCACGCCCGACTAAGACGTCATTGGTCAAGTGGTGATCACATGACGCACGAAGGAGGAGGAAAGATACCCGACCAAGACCTCATTGGCCGAGAGTGATCACATGACGCACGAAGAAGGCTGTCGATGCCCCCATCTAGAGTATAAGTATGAGAAGCTGCTAAGAAGTGGGGAGGGCAGTTCACGCTCCTCAGAAGCATGTTGAGAAAGTGGGAGTGAAAAAAAAAGTTACCAAAAATGGAAAAGAGTGGAAAATCCCTAACCAGAAATAAAAGAGGTGGATATGTATTTAGAATTATCGAGGAACTCCCCGACGCCAACAGACCCAACCCAGTTTTTGTCGGCGCCAATAAAAGCCAGGCCCCAACAGGCAGTAGTTCGCGCCCTGACGGCAGAGAAGAGTGCCCAGTAGTTCGAGCCCTAACAGCAGAGATGAGTGTCCAGTAGTTCAGGCCCTGACAGCAGAGATGAGTGTCCAGTAGTTCGTTCGGCCCTGGCGGCAGAGATGAGTATCCAAAGTTCGAGCTCCAGTTACCAGAGTTGAAGCCGCCTCAAGATAGCTGACCAAGATTCACGCAAAATTTCGGATTCTTCT